TTTTTGAATAATCTGAAATTAACAACTCAGTAAATTGACATATTTACAGTAAAAATAACTTGGCTTCCTTCTCATCTTCCTCCTACTTTGCCAGATGAAAAGGATATCATGGATCTACACTCTTTACCTCCTTTTTCTTCAGGTTGAGACCTAGGTATCATTTGCAACAACAGGATGTATAGTTGAAGATGTGATATTAGTCAGTTGCTCAGATGGCCTTAACTTTTGATGGTTTTTAAATTGTTTAGAAACTAGTGCAAATATTATATGAAAAAAGATATCTAATAAAAAGAGTTGCTTGAGTTGCTTCAGTGATCTCAAATTGTTATGTGAAGTACACAGCCATGAAATGCCCCAATAACTGCTTTAGCTTATGCGTATAAGTATTCTAATTGGTACATTAAAACTGTCTTTGTGAAGAGATGCACCGTAAATCTTTAAACCTATTCTAACTACTACTTATATAACTGATGTAAACTGGAAGAGCTGGGCCAGAGAATATGGCCTTAGACTTGGAAACACGAGTTACTGGAAAAATGTGATTTTGCTACACTGCAAAGGCAGGAGGTAGTCTCCGGCAGATAAGTGACAGTGAGGCAACCAGACAGGCTGTCTCCACTGCTCCTGGCATTACCTTGACATATCAAGGTCAGTTAAAAAAGCGTCAAAAGTGTAAGGCCAAGTCCTATGATTTACTCCACAAAATCCGCAGGAGAAGCAGGAGATGGAACTGAATCATTTCTGCAAAGGAGGAGGTCCAAAATGGAGTTAGGGAGCAAGTTTGGGCAAATTATATTAGTGGAAAGGCAATTTGTGTTTACTTTCCTCTACTAAGCAAACCTCATCAGAGAAAACAAGTCTTGAAGATGTTGAACGTAGGAAGAAACTGAGAACTCAAAGATAGAAATTCCCCAAACCCTCTACAAGGACTGAAAAAGAGACGTAAAATAACAGACATTGTTCCAGGTCTCGGAAAGACCWTTCCTAGTCAAGTACTTATGTTTATTTAAAAAAATTCCCCTGGACTTGTGGTTTCAGTCCTGACAGACATCAGGATCTTTCTAGGAGCAGCTAATCATCCGTTAGTGCAATCAAGGTCACAGTGACTTGAGATTTCTCAGACATAYGCAACAGATTAGAAACATTTTGCACTAATAAACAACTCCTTGTTTAGATGCAATGGTGATACTGTAGCAACTGCACAGCTGAAATACACAAAGGCAAAGACACCTCCTGACCAATAACTCAGCTATTTAGCTAAAACGAAATGCAACCAGCATTTAGCTTTCTCCTTCTTACAGTAATATTATTTGTCATWATTTCTTTATGGAAAAAAGTCTTAAGACCTGAAAAATGTTTCTTAGGGGTTACTGTAATTTTTAAGCACTTGGCTAAGACATAAATCCTTTAACACAAAAGGTCAACTCTTATTAACCTAAAAGCCAGCCACATCTAACTCATTAGCTTTTATCARTACAGTTTTTCTTTTCCTGTTCCACAGCTACAGTTGCTTTAAAATAATGTTAAAATACCAAAATCTAAGTGGACAACTCAGTTTTCATCACACTAGCCACAGTACACAGTTTTCACCATCAATAGCTTTGAAGCATATTAAATGAAACAGGATCTGAACTTACATTATCACATATTTTAAGGCCACCAAATTAGATATTAGAAGTTTTCAACTTCAGAACAGACAAAAAGAGAACATTGTTATACAGGAAAAGACAACAGGTCTTTTCTTGAAGAACCAGTGAAGTCAAAAGCTCTATTTGGGTGGAGGAAAAGCATGAATGTGCCTGTATGTGTCCGAGGGTCTAATACAGAGAATAAGGCAATCTAGTTAGCTTGAGTTTTAGCAAAAATGCACCAGATATCTTCGTATCTACATGCATACAATATGCAATCAACTTGAAAACAGAATTTGGGGGAGGGAAAGTAAAGAAAGATCCCATCAGTCTTTCAGTGAGGACCAAAAATTTCAGACCTCTCATTTAGAGGCAGCAATTTGTGCTCTCACTGGATGGAGATGGTGAACATTTGCATCCAATATCCATATTAAATTATCTAAGGAATAAAAGAAATAAGATATTCCTCATGTGATTGATAGTTTGTTTACACATCTGCCTATTGCATTGGTTTGAATGTTACATACCAAGTGTAAACAAAAAAAAAAAAGACCAAATCCTAAGCCTTATTACATAGCCATRGGATTTTTTTCCTGTCTTGAAGTTACTGGTCTCATCATCTCCTGCACATGACTGCACATTATTTGTTAGGCAAACAAAGTTCTATTCATGAATAGAAATCCATTTAGAACTATTAAATTACACTGTGTGAATGATAACCAAGAGCAAAATAGAACAATCTATATTCTTCATTTTCAATTGCACTAATAGATATTACCAGAACTGAAAATGAATATAGACTCTATTCTGCAGGAGAATGGGAACAAATGCCACAAACACTCATCTTGTTCTCAGACACTGTGCAATTCTGTAGCCAAGCACTACATCTGTCTTAAGGTAAAAGCAGTGAGAGGCAAAGCTGTTTTATAGCCAAGCGAGCCACAGAAGAGCTTTGCCCACGTGTGCACATACACTTTCCATATGAGATTGCTCCAATTCAACAGAACTGGATTATTTTGCTCCAGTTACATAAGTAGGCCTTCTCCTCTGCAGATATTAAGCCAGTAGAAAAAAATCAAGAACATAAATTCTATTTTACTCTTGGTAATCTCTCACATAAATAGTGCTGAAGAGCTTTCCATTCATGGACAGAATTTATGTTACGGCAAAGGTAAGATAACCCTTAAGGCTTCCTATTTTTCCTCTCAAAAGGAAAGCCTGGGTTGCCTTTTTACTTTCTAATTCTGCAATACCTAACTAACTACTCATCACTTTAGATGTCCATTTATTTACTATCCTGATTTGCTTACCAAAAGTAATTAAACAAAGGAAAGATTTGGGAAATTTTAGAGAAAAAGTGATTCAAAAAATGAACTGCATCTCTGCATCTTTCCACCATACAGGTGGTAGTACAAGTACCCCCTCCGGTACAGGAGATGTGGAGATGTTGATCTCAAACATTCACATATCTTATACATATCTTATTAAGTAGTTAAAAATTTGAAGGCTCCTTGCTTTTTTTTTTTTGATAACTCCAAATCCCTTTTTCCCCCCCACTCACCATCTAATAAAATTGAAACAAAACCAAGGAGAGGCAGAAAAAGCAGCAACCCTTTTAGAAGTTCCAGCCTTGCTTGCTCTCTCCCTGTTGAGTCTGKCAAGTCCTGCTTTCAGCTTGCCCTCAAAACACGCAATTCATCTTTTATACTTTGCTAATTCCATACTCCCTTTTTTGAGAAGAAAACAACTTGGTATTTTTAACTTCCATCTTGTGTTGTGCAAATATTTGTTAGCTACATGCCTTTCTGAAGTTTAATTACACAGCTGATACTGAAGTTGGCTTTATTTTCAAGAACCATTTAGCACCACAGTTTTTCCATTTTCATAGAGCAGAATGAGGAAAGCTGTGCCTTAAGTAAACCAGTCAGATTTTTCTAACATATAACAAAGCTGTAACCAAGACCACAGCAGTACACATCTGTTAGAGGGATATATATAGTGCAGAATATTCTAGTTTAAAAACTAGTACCACTTCAACTGTGTGAATTTTKGCAGTTTTATTTTGAAACACTGGGTTCACCAGAAGAATAAAATACCATATACGTGCATTGCAGTCTATAAGATTACATGTTGGTAGTCTCATCTAAGCAGGCACAGTAAAAATACTGATTATATCCAAGGCAGTAAGATGAGATTGAAGGAATCAAAGCTAATAGATGATTTGAAACAATTCACACATTATGCAAGCTTTGACTATCCACTTAAAGCTCAGATATATGAAGTGTGTGCTATATTGATCATATATTGATCTGATTGAAATAAGCTGCTCGAAGAACAGGGTACAGCCAATGCTTCACAAACCCCTTCAGTCCCACATCCATTCATCTGTTGGCATCAGAATGTCTTAATATTAGACCATAATAATACTAAAAAAGTTTTCATATCGCTATACACAAACACAGATAGAAACCCAGAACTGAGTCACACTTGATCTGTGTTTCATTTCTCACAGACAAGGCTTTTAATCTAAACCATTTCAGTAACACAGTTACCGAAATCTCAAATCTCTCTCTAGCAAATAACATGCTAGTTCATTTAAATTTCCTAAGAGACAAGAAAAGAAAAATCATGTATTTCTACCGTTTTCTGAGCCCTGATATGGTTTATAACATTAACAGCAGTAAAAGGAAGGATACTGCAAGTTTAGAGGTGGAACTTCTCCTTTTGGACACCCGGGGATTACTCATAGTCACAAACTTGCCAAGAGCCGTGGGTCAAGCGGGCAGCATGGGCCACCCATGGGATACAGAGGGAGCTGTATCTATATACAGGACTGCACACAACAGTTTGATGCATAAATGGCCATGCCCTGGCACCAGGGAAGGGACAGATAATTCTTTAAAACATCTTTCAGTCTTCCTGGTTATCACTCCCGCCCAGAAGAAACGCGCCCTCCTCCCCGCTCCAGCGGGGAAAGCCCCGAGGAGGGCACTTGCGGAGCGCCGCTCCGCGCCGGGGCTTTCCGAGCACTGACCGCCCTCGCCGCGGCTTTCTCGGGAACGGCGCTCCCGCGGCTCCCTCGCCGGGACGGGCTCCCTCGCCGGGACGAGCCCCCGCGCACAGCGCCGGTCCAGCCGGGGCGGTTGTTTTCTAACGCCCTCTCCCTCCAAGGGCTCGTAGCGGAGACACCTCCCCCCGCCCCAGGCCACCACCGCCTCCCCTCAGCGCTAACGGTCGGGCTCGCGCGCGGCCAACGGCTGCGCGCGACCGTTACGACAACGGCACGGACGAGCTCCCCGGAACCGAGGGAGCCGGACCCYACCGGGAAACCTTCCCCGTGAGTTCCAGCACGGAGAGCACGACCGCACTCACCGTCCACGAGCGCCAGCCGCCGATACARACRCTACASAGCTCGCTCTACTCCCCACTCCACCGCCACGGGGAGTGGTGGCGGTGCCGCTGCCGCCGCCTTCATATCCCCGGCCCCGCCCCGCGCCTGCTCCGCCCCGCGCCTGGCCCCGCCCCGCGTCTGGCCCCGCCCCCCGGGCCGCCCCGCGCCTGGCCCCGCCCCGCGCTCTCTCCAGCCCGCTCCTCCCCAGGGTCTCCCTCCTCTACGCCGCGTTGCATTGTGGGGAGTGTGGCGGTGCGGCTCCCGGACTACATTTCCCAGGAGCCCTCGCGCGGCCGTCGCTGCCGCCGGCTAGTTCCGGACAACGCCTGCTGTGCGGTAACGGCGGCGGCCGCTTCCTTCTCCCGGCACTTCCGGCGCGGCGGCGAAGCCCACGGGGGAGCGGGGSGCTCGGCGGGCCGCGGCGCACGGTAAGAGGCTCCGTGTGCCCGGGGAGCGCCCGCCCTGGCGGCAGGGAGCGCAGGAGAGGCGCCGGGCTCGCTAGTGCCTTTGCGTCGGGCCTCGCTCTCCCCCCGGGGCTGCGCTGAGCTAAGAGCCTAAACGGCCTTCGAGCACCGGCGCCTGCCCGAGGGCTCGGGCGGGAGCCGCTGGCTACGCCGCCCTGAGGCGAGGGCAGCGGGGAGCGACGGGCTCCCGCCGCTCTCCTCGTCCACCCCTTCCCCCCGGCGCCTCGGCGGCCTGGCMGGGCCCCAGGGTTCCCCTTGGAGCGAGGCGTGGCGCGGCCTCGTCCTTCCCGCCGCCCGTTACCCCCCTCCTCGCCCCCTGCTCGGGGCCCTTCAGGGCTTTGGGCCGCAGCCTGGGCCGGGAGAGAGAGGCGGGTGCCCGGCCAGGCCCGGCCCGCCCAGGCCCAGTGTGTATTTTTAGCTCGTCCTCATGTTTGCGAGGAGCCTCCTCAGCCCGGTGGGGAGGAGGCCTCTGTTTGGCTGCYTGAAAATTGTTTTGTTAGTGCCCCATTTCCCAGGGTGCTTGATAGACGAATGGAGGCAGGAATATTTGCTTTATTTCCAAATCCCCCAAGGAGGGGCTGGGAACGTCTTGGAAGAGAAGCTGGCATATGTTGTTGCCATTATGTGTGCTAAAAATAGCGACCTGTTTCGGTTAAAATAACTTTCATTTTGGTAACTGGTGAAATTGAGGTGCAGTCAAGGAGGCTCTTGTTCTGCATGTAGCAAGCACAAAATGTAGATTATTATTGTTACTAGGAAGGACTAAATTATCCTCATTTTCAAGTTCAGTATRACAAGAGAGTGTGAATTAATTATGAGTGATTTTAGAACGAGGTTGTATATTTTTGTGGGCTTGACCTGATTCTCGAAGGGGACTGCTTGGGTTTGTGTGACTGCTGAATTACTCACAGGAATCACTCTCACAGTAAAATAATGCATGAGCAGTCAGGCTTKGTCAGGATGAACCCAAGTGTGAGTGGCTATAGCGCCCATGGATGGGTGTTTGGGAGCTGCTTATCTCTTTAGCCACAATATTTTAAAATCCTTTTAAAACTTCAATGCTGTCTTCTAAGAATATTCTTTTTGCAGTCTTTTCAGTGACGCTGTTGGATGTACAAATAGGAAGGTAGAACTAGTTAAAGGGCCTTTTTAACTGTTTCTGGTTGTCTTTACTGTTTATTGAAACGGAAGTTGTCATAGCTGGGCTATGCACTGGTTCCCATGAATGCTCTGAAAGCAGCTGTTAAAACTTGAATTTTGAAGTCTCTTCTGAGTTTTTTAAAATAAAGCTAATGTATCTACTGTTTTGTTGAGGATTTTTTTATGTGTTTTCCTGAAATGTGTTACTAACCATTTTCAGGGGGTACACTGGAGGAGATATATATTGATTAGGCTTGGTTCTTCAGTCCTTGTCCTTCGGAAAACTCGAGCAGGCAGCCTGCTGAAAGGGTATGACAAGGAATTAGCTTCCAAATGTCTCAAGCCAGCCTTACCTTCTTAGTATTCTTAATTAGCCAAAGCCTTGCTGGTCTGGGCCTGAAAGATCAGCTACTTTAGCGTTTTCTGGCAGTCTTTTTGCAAATGCATCGCGAAGCCTCATCAATTTTTAAAGGAAGAAAAGGCTTAAATGACTTTATATACTTTATACTTTAAATAACCCATGTCGTTTACTCATGTCTTATATGAGTTATATACTCATATATTTTAAGTTATAGAATGGTATAAGATTACAGTCTCTAAGGAAGTGTAGTGTTAGCAGGTAAGCTAGTGTCTGGAAAGGAAGAAGCTTTTTTTTTTTTTTTTTTCCTCCTGTCTCCTTTAATCTGTTTTTAAATGGCTCTTATTAAGGGAAACATGACAAAGCAACCAAGCTGCCTGGCAGTGTGTGTGCAGTTTAAATAGTATATTCTGATCCCCTACATAAGATGTATATAGCCTGGAGACTTGGGTAGAGACAGCAGTGTTCTAACATGGGTAGGTCTACTGGTGGTAGAATTTGAATCCTGGGTTATGCCAGTTGATACGTAAGGTTTCTGTTATTAAAAAAAAAAAAATTCTCTAGAATTCTAACAGAGAAACTGAGATGCTGCGTTCTGTATACACACAATTTGACAAGCTATGATTAAACAAACACCTTTTTTATGWTTATAGATATTGTACTGGCGTTCATGCTGGCCAAGAAGCAAATGCAAGTTTGGGGAAGATTACAGGAGACCATACTGATATTTGCACTAAGAGCTCTGTATTTCTGCTGCTGGATTTAGTGCTTTACCAAAAATCTGTCAGTGGTGTAGATTAGGGAAAGCAGACTTTCACCTTGGTCACTATTAACAGTAGTGGCAGTAGTAAAATTCATAAAGCAAGTGAACAAAATTCAGATTCTCCCAGTGCTTACTGTGAATAACTGGAATAGTAATACTTAAGTGCTCATACTTTAAAGGGTGGAGTTGTATTGACAGTGAAAATATAGTCCATGCTAACACATCTTTCTTCATAGAGTTTGATGGTTTTGATTTGAGACCAAGCAGACAGGATTGTAGCCAGGTACCTCAGCATTGCTATCAGAGTAGAATCTCTAAATTATCCCTGAATTCCCTTGAATCCTTCCTGTTCGTTGTCTCTGTCTGATTTCACCTGATGCCGTGTAAAGAAGCTTGACTTAGTTATAATTCCTGGCTAACGGGCTGTGCTGGAATCTGTGGGATCACTGTAATCAGTCAGGCTTACATGCAGTGTGTATCTGGCAGTCTGTGTTTGTTCAGTCTCACTGTTTTCTTGTCTTCTCATACCCCATTTAACAAGTTTTATGCCAGGTGAGAAACAACTTTGTGTGTCTTTTGATAGTAATTTGCCAGGATTTGTCTGAGCTAAATTAGCACAGAGCTGCACTGTGCTGTTCTAACATCACGTTTTCACAGTTTCGTTCCCTCTTCTTGAGAACGTGAAACTTCAGTTAAGTAGCTAGTGAAACTTGTATAAACTTATCTCAATTAAAAGAAGGTTTTGAGTTTCCAATGAACTGGAGTCAAGCTTTCAGAAGACAGTGATGCCCTAGGTTTTGATATGTGACAAGTCTTGATCACAGACAAAAAAAAAGGGGGGGGGGGGCATGATAATTTTCATTTAAATTTTGGCTGTAGACAGCCCCCCCTCCCCAAAGGCACATTGAATTTCTAATGTTTATTTAAGCAATAGAGGTGATTTTGCTGTCCATATCAATTCAGTCCATAATCAGGGTTATATTTTAGTAGAGCTGTGAGAAACTATCTTTCTGTAACACAARCAAATGCATGTTTTGTTTGTTGGTTTTGTTTTTGAAAAGCTACTGTTTCTGCTATTTTTTATTATTAAAGACACGCCTAAAATGTATGTGTAAGATGTAAAGAACTCATTGCACGTGCATGTAAGATGTATAGTGTGGCAATATTAACAGACAAATACACTAGGTAGTTGTGTGTCATGYGCTTATCTTCTGGAAAATGGAAGGGTTTATAGAATAACAGGGAACAAGGGCTAATGATACCTTGACTATATTTGTCTTCATAGGCTGGCAACAAAAGGGTTGATGTTTCTCACTTAGATTTTTATGTGCGTGTCTTTAAAACTACCTCTTTGGTCACAACGTGTATATCTTCTATATTAATACAAATCCCAATTCTGCNTTGGTGTGTGTGTCTTGATTTCTGGTAAAAAGGTGATAGATTGTGTGTATTTGTTTCTATATGGCAGATTAAACTGTACTATAGATTAATAATCCTTTATGGCTCCTCAGGAGTATGTGGGTTCGTTATAGTCCATGGTATAATATTTTTCACTATCATAAAACACATCTTTTCAGTTAGCATTTTTTTCATGTGAATACTGCTAACTGGTTAACAGTTTAATTTTATCTAATGTTTGATTTTGTCCTCCCAAAATCAAAAGTATTGTTCAATTATTTGATATGGTGTTTTGAACTAAGGAAAAAATCTATTCATGATAATAATTTAGGTAAAATGCAGTAAATTAATCTGGAAATGCCCTTTTAAGAGGTCTACCTTTGTGTTGCACATCCCTTGATTATTTCTTTGAACTTGCAGAAACACAGAATTAACCAGTAAAACAAACAGTTCTGTGCCTCCCCCTACCCCTGATGTGTCCGAGTTACTTAGTACAGGGAATATGCACCTGTAATAAATAGGAYGACTAGTGCTTGCTGTACCAGCAGTTGTGAATGAAAACTTGTTTAGACTAGAATTTACCTTCTAGTGTATGAGAGTTTGCATGATTTTATAACTTAGGAAGAATTTTGGTACATACACCGCAAAGTGTGATGATATGAATATGGACTTGTAACTGTCCTGGGCCAAAGGAACTTCTTTTTCAATGTAAATGGTTTTATGCAGAAAACTCTTAGCCGCTGCAGAGCATAAGGAAGAATATAGCAAGAAGAAAYGTTTGGGCTTAACTATTCAAACTCCTGAGAAGTGATACTGATTACAGTTATAGCTTGTGATATTTGTTAAATTCCCTTTGAGTTGGCTTTACACTAAAATGTTGAGACAAGACAGCATACTTTTATAGAGACTTCTTATGAGCGACAGGGTGACCTTTTTTCCAGATTGCTTCTGAGTCTGACCAGTGATCATTCCATGTTAGAAWGGATGAGCTGGACTGGATGGAGAACTTCCAAAAATTAGATTCAGTTACTGGAGCAGTTTTTATTGCATTAATGTCTATTGACACACCCTCAATGGAAACAAGACTTCTGCTAGTATGAAAACAAAGATGTAGTATTCAGAACTCAAACACATAGGAAGCAGGCATACTGAGAGGTATGTTTGGTAATATTTGTTAGTGTGCTTTACAGCAGAATTATAGCTTGCTACAAATACTCTATATTTTGGAATAGATATCTAGTTTTAGTGCCAACTCTGTCTTAACACACGTACTGATATTTTGGGTTTGCATCGTTTAATGCTATTAAAAAAAGCTTTTCATGTATGAGAGTTGACAGATATCTTACATGGTTACTTACTTGTCGTGGCAAGATTTATGTATTTCATATTAAATAAAATCACTACTTTTGGGGCAAATGAGTTATGCAAAAACTTAAGTCAAAGCTTTTCGGCTTTGTACCTTCCGAAGATACGTGATGACTTAATAATTTTGAACTAGGATTTTGAAATTTAATTAAGTAGAAACATATTCCCTTAAACTCCATCTGTAAAATAATTCCTACTTTCTGGGCAGTCGTAAACTTAAAGTTGTTTTGGTTGTTTTATTTTCTAGAAAACTTCAGTCATAAGCATTCTTTCTTTATTATTTTTTTCTCCCCTCCCCTTGCGCATCCTAAGGACGGGATACTTTTTAGGTTCTTTATTCTTGCACGACGAAGAAAAAGAAGAAACGCGTCAGTGAATGAGGAGTTTTATGCTTCTATAGCATTTTTCCTGAAAAGTGGGGCTTTGAATGAGGATGACAATGGAAGAGATGAAGAATGAAGCAGAGACCACTTCTATGGTTTCCATGCCACTTTATGCAGTTATGTACCCTGTCTTCAATGAGGTAAGCTGTGTGGTTTTGCTTTAGAATGCAATAAACCCATTTAATTGCGAAATTTGATCACAAAAGTGGGTTGCTCATCTTGATATGGCAAGCTGTCTGCCATGCCTCTAACACTATCTTCTTTCTATGGACTTTTTTTAATCCTTTCCATTAAGGCAACACTAAAAGGTTGTTAGTTATCTTGGCCGTGATCTTTCTTCYGTAAGTTTTGCACTAGATGTGATTTTCACCAAAAAATTTGATAGACAGTGCTATGCACAACATAGAAGTTAAAGTTTACCAACTATCCTGGTAAAATTATACGTATTTCAGAATGTGCCCTTCCTTTACAGATCATTATTTTAGTGTTTCCTTTTTTTATTGTAAGTTTTTGGGCATTTTCTGCATATATTTCAACTCTAATAGTGGATGATATACTCTAATTTTGGTAATTTCTGCATTTAATGACCAGTAACCTACAGTTACCTGTGGACAGCATAGTATCCTTGTTGCTAGTGGCTTTAATTTCGTAAGATTCTCTGTCCATAAACTCTAGGGATAGTCAGGATGTTTTCAAGACTTCTTTGGAACTGCAGCTGCAGGCTGGACAAAATAAAAACATGTCCAGTGATGTGTTTGGCCTTTTTTATGCTTTTTTTTTCCTCTCCTTTTGGGAGTCATCTACTTAACTGTCCTTCAAATCAGACCATTCATTCAGATTTTTGTCTGTTCCCTTTCCATTCTGCTCTCTAAGGTAAGACCTGACTACTTGCTTTGTTCTTATAACATTGGAATTGCTAATCATTCTGCTTTCATTGCAGCTAGAAAGAGTAAATCTGTCTGCAGCTCAGACACTGAGAGCAGCTTTTATTAAGGTGAGCAGCAACTTGTATTGAGGAATGATTATCTGGAGTGTAAACTCTCTGTAATAAAGCTTGAAATAACTCTCAGCTCTTTCATTGCTTTGTCCTTTTTTTTCTTGTTTGTTTTAAGATAGCCTTATTCTTAATCCATAATCTTAAATACATATGTGTGTCTCTATAAAAATAAGTGATTGGTAATATCCACCAGTAAGTTAGGGAAGTGCGGCGGTGCATGTCATGAATAGGAATCTGAAAGCCATGGCTAAAAAGAGGTAAAGGTAACAATTGTGGTCTATACCATGACCAGGATACTTAGAGTAGGTGTTTATGGGGAAATAGGAATGTAGCAAACTTTAAAAATTATTTTTAAAAATGAATGTATATGGAATTTTGTTATTTGGCTGAGAGGAGGTTCAGTGCTTTGTGTATTTGCTCCTAGCTCTAAATTGAAGAGAAAAAAAGGATTTTTCCTTTTAGAATTTTTATTTTGCGTATTTTAAATCTTTACAAATAGTTTTTTTTCCTGGTGCTTTTCTTAACGGTAATGGTGTTTTCTTTTTTTCTTTAGACAAAGAATAATTGTAATATACCTTGTTAGTTTGTGAGCAGTGTAAATAATACTTCCCTGTCTCTGCATTTAAATTTGACAGTGTGTAGACAGTCCTGATTCTCAACTAGAGCTTTTAGATGTTAAAAAAAAAAAAAAAATGTTTTAAAAACTGGCGCTAAACTGCTAAGCGAAATGCCAGTAGTGAAAAAACTGTGATGCTGAAAAATGGTAGTTCTAAACTTCTCTTGTTCAATACAGTACAGTCTTTTTGATAGCAACACAGTGTAAATACTTCCGATGTCAATTCACTCTGAATTTGTTTATAGGAGTAAAACAGAATGTATAGTGTTTTAATATGGAATATTTCTTATTCCAGTTGAAATGAATAGAAGAGCGTATTAGGAAAGTTCCTTATGGAAAACCCCTGATATTATCTAAGAAAAATGGATATTGTAGCAGAGGAATGATGTGCAATGTAATCTGCTTGCTTAAGCCCATTAGACTCTTAAAGTTTCTAGCAAACCCCTGCTGTGTGTGAAGGGTGTTGCATGAAAGTCAACCTTTATGCTTGCAGTGTTCATGTCTTGCATGTCTAAATAAAAACCTTTGCAATGCAGGCTGAAAAAGAAAATCCAGGTCTCACACAGGACATCATTATGAAAATTCTGGAGAAGAAGAGTGTGGATGTGAACTTCACAGAGTCTCTTCTGCGTATGGCAGCTGATGATGTAGAAGGTAAAATCTCATCCCTTACGTTGAATATTAGTATCATTAATTATGTTGTTACCAAGGAATCTGCATTTCTCTGTACCTGTTTACAAAAGTTGTTTTTCGTAGTAGATTTCCTTTCATTCAGCATAGTAGAGCAGTAGTGCTGTCTGAATACTGGGCTAATAAGAGAAAGAGGGAGAGAATGAGTGTGTAGAGTTTATGCTTATTTGGGGAATTGCATTTTTTGCCTTTGCAATTTAGACAACTAGGGAAAAAGCAAATATGGAGGAAGAGAATAAAACTTGTCTTTCGTTTCCATGCTTCAAATTATTAACAGTAGCTATATGGGCAAAAAGGAGCTGTGAAGTATTTTTAGACCACACTTAGTGTAATATTTTCAGCGTCTCACACTGATAAAACAAAATGGGCTTCTTTCCTGTCATATTTCCATTTGGAAGGGTATTTATGCTATATTTCTGTCGATGCAAAGTGTATGCATTACCATTTTGTGAGTGTGACTATTATGGGCTGTTTCCACCTTGAAATGTGACGTGGGGATACTGCTGCATTGTGTGAAGTAGCAATTTTAGCTGTCATGAGAAACTAATGGAATATTTGAATGTTGTTCTTGTTAGAATATATGATTGAAAGACCAGAACCAGAATTCCAAGACCTGAATGAAAAGGCACGAGCACTTAAACAGATTCTTAGTAAGATTCCTGATGAGATAAATGACAGAGTGAGGTTTCTTCAGACAATCAAGTAAGTGCTACATAATGTATTTATTTGCAGATCAGATTCCAAACACTTTGTCCTTCAACATGACAAAAACCAATTTTGTGCTGGTACTTGCTAAGGTAATTGCTTCCTGGGGAGTATGGCTAGGCCAAGTCAGGATTATTAGGAAAAAATTTAGATTTTTTTCATTAATTTTTCTTGGGCTTAACTTCTGTTGCCAGATGACACTTCCGTTCCAGCAATCATGAAAAGCTGAATTAAATTCATTTTTTGCTCATGTAAGAAATAGTTTGCGGTGATCTTCATATAGAGTTGCATAGCACGTAAGATTCTGAATCCAATTATACTATGCCACTTTCACTGCTAAAGAATTAATTAAAATGGCTGCCTAAGCTTACAATGTTACTAGTGTGATACCTTCCTTGAAGTCCTAGAATATCACTCTACCCCTGGGTGCAATTCTCTAGTTCATGACTCTGAAATATAAAATAGTAAATATGCGTAGGAACAATTTTGTTGATGTCTTAGGAAAAAATCTGTGGATTAAAGATGGAACCTTTAAAGTGACAGCAACTTAATTGCAATACTGAAATTCTATTAAACTTCTGCAACTTATTTTAAAGATATGACAACCACATGAACATGAAGCTATAGAGCTACTCTAGGAGAATGTAACGGCATTTGTTTAATGGATATCGAGTATATAATTTCCTTTACTTTCATGTTTATATTCATTTGCTGTCTTTCATATTGTAACATGGATGTGCACATAGAGCTGCTTATGTACTGTTAGGGTGGCAGGACTCAAAAGGACTTCTTCAAGAAGAGAGTTAGGCAGTATTATGCAACATTTTTATATAATGTAAGACTTTKATAATTTTGCCTCTTATCCATATCCAATAAAGAGCTTCCTTGAAGTCACTTTCCCTCTTCTCCCATCCTTCCCCCAAAAACATAGTGCCCCTCCTAGCATTTGAGACTAGGGAGTCCTTTTTCCTTGGAGTACAGGCAAAGAGCAAGGAAGATAATAGGATGTGGAGTGTCGTTGACACTGGGAAACCTTGTCAGCAGTTGAGTTCCTCTCCGAATGGGCTTTATTCTGTTGTCACTTGCACACACACAGATTCCTTTTGCTGTGGATCAGATGAACAGATTGTGCAACGAGTCTGACAGCAGAGTGTGGGAGGGGTTCTGCCTCCTGCAGAGAGTTCTTGAGGACAGACTCATTCATTTAGTGAAAGTACTTGGCAAACCAGTTAGTTAAACTGACCCATTTTTGCTCCTGTCCCATTTKAATCTTTTGTCTACCCTCACAACCCTTGCTTGCAAGTTCTTTTGTAATCCAAAGGGCATTCTGTCTTTGGAGTTGGTGGCTTCAGCAAGGAGTTGGAAGTATTTAATTWTCCTTCTTAAGATAATAAAGTCAGTAGAGATTTTTTGTATCTTAAGATTGCAGAGAACACTTGGAGAATGACAAATATTAAATATGAAACAAAGTTGTATTCATGTGGAGTCTTGGTTTATTGGAAAACCCACAATTAATTTCACATTCACTGTACGGTATTGATGTATTTTTAAAATGTCATTGATCTCAGAAGAAAAAAATTACTTGGTAACTGTAGTAGAAAAATACTTTGCATCTCTGTACACTCTGCCTAGTGAGTAGTAAATTATCTTGAGTTCTCTGAAATACAAAAAGTTATCAAAATAATACATTTATCAAAGGTAATGCATCATACCCCCACAAAGCTACAATTCTGACTCTCCTGATGTTATTGACACCTCCTTATGGTATTAGGCCAAGGAATGAAGAATTTTAATCCAAAGTATTGGTAACTACTACTCAACACAGCAGCAGGGAATGCTATATCTTATTAAGGGTGGGCCCTTCTGATCAGTTTGAATTGCACAGGATACAATCTCCACTCTTCGAGGAGGGACARGAGATCTCTTTACTGTCACTGTCTCCACAAAGACATTTTTTGTTCTGTTGCTTCTGTGATGCTAATCACAAAACACTTCACCATAGAGAATGACTCTTAATGTGGAAAAAAGAAGAATCAACACTGTGTTTAGGTCTGAATGCTTAAACAGTTGTAGAAAATACTAGCAACTCTGCTCCTGTTTGCATGTAGCCAGATCCATGCGTAAAAAAGTAAAAAGGGTAGAGAGTTTTTGAAAAGAGCCCTGTGCTCCTAGACAGAAATGAACTTGTTGATACCCAGTGGATTACTTGCAACTTGACAGGCTCTTTGCTTAAAGTCTCTCACATCCTTTCTGACATTCATTCTGTAAAGTAGAGACTGTTTTAAGAAATAGAGTTTCTCTGCTTGTAGAGCAGTTTGTCTGCTGTAAGGGCATTACATTCCAGCCTTTAATTAAGAAAATGTATGGATATTTTATGGWTATTTATTTAAGGATATCACAACTATCTTTTTATTGCCAAATAGGGACATCGCAAGTGCAATAAAGGAGCTTCTTGACACAGTAAATAATGTCTTCAAGAAATATCAATACCAGAACCGGAGGGTATGTGAAATAATTTCTTTATATGGCTCTTTTAATAATATAAGAAGCATATCCTGATGGTCAAAGGATGAATAGGAGAGCTTAACTAATGGATGATAAAATGAGAATGTGTAGCCCAGGAAAACTTCACTTAAACATATTGCTTTAGCAAGAAAATTGTATTATTAAAAGTTTCAGTTTAGTGGGAACAGGATAATTTCTCTGTATGTCTTCTAAATTATTTAAATTCCTGAATGTGCATATTTTAACCTATTTTCCTCTTTCTATTTTTAACTAAATATGCTCTCACTGTGGCATATGGTTGCTTGAAGATTCTACTTCTGATATTGTTTTGTTTGTTCGTTTTCTTAGGCACTTGAGCACCAAAAGAAAGAGTTTGTAAAATACTCCAAAAGTTTCAGTGATACCCTGAAAACCTATTTTAAAGATGGAAAGTGAGTATGCTTATCACAAACTGTGGTTAATGAGGAAGAAAAAAATCTTGTATTTCACTTACTGGCATGATAAGAAAAGTCAGATAAGATTTTGGTCGCAAACACCTTCCCCAGGGCTGGTGTAATGTTGTTTTTTCCCACCTAGGTTCAGACTATTGTGGCTGCTTTAAAATAGTTTAAAATAGTATTCCTTTTTCCTCCTCTGAGTTGTGGGAAGGGACTGGTAAGACTGTACAACACCYACATACAGCATTAGCTTTGAATTTACACATGTGGTTAAGTTCTGTCATCTTCTGTGGTGTTTTGTGTATGTATATACAAGCAAAACTTCCTTATTTCCAAATATCATTTGCAAAACACCTTATGCAGCATTTTAAGGTGACTTAAATTTTTATCTTCCTTTCTTCATAGCTTGGTATGTTGTAACACATGAAATGACTCGGCGCATTGTTTTTTTTCTTTTTTTTTTTTTCTTATTCTCACTAGTGGTTTAGTCAATTAAGCAAGGMTTTTTTTCCAGGCCTTGGGTTTTGAAGTTGTTTTTCTTGTATTTCATTGTAGCAGGGGTTTGGGATGCTGAGCTTATACCTCTCGGGTTTTTACAGTACCAAAGTGTGTTCTACATGATGCCGTTTTACAGATGAGAACTGACTTGCATTGCTGGTCTTGCTGAACTCAGCAAAGGCGTAAAACATCCAGGTGATAGTGTGTTCCTAAAGGAAAGGAGTCCTGGGAACCCAGCTRTGAATACCACCTTGCCCCTCAAAGGACACATGTAGGGGCACATACCCCAAGCATAGTTAGAGACCAGCTTTAAGCCTTGTGGGAAGTCAGTGCTGTGCCATGTGTTGGGCCTGAGCTTTTAAATGCCTTTCATAGGTGGGATTCCTTGCAAGATATGTAATAAGACTTGAATTCCTTATTCTTTGGGAATAAGAAATAATTTAACCGTTTAAGAGCTGCATGCCCTGTAAGTTGGTGTGGCCCCACCAAAAGGTGGTAACACTTAACAAGATACAGTCATACTTAGAGATACAATTACTTAGTTAAAGATGTAGTGACCTCACCGTTCTTATCTTTATCTGAGGAAACAAAATGGAATATTGATTCTGCATGTGTGCTTGTTCAGTATTTAAGGAAAGAGCTGCTTGAAGTGATCAGAGTGCTGTGTTCAGCTCCAGGGACAAAAAAAAAAAAAAAAAAAGACATTTAATGACCATCTGTTCAATGCTTTTTACTTAGAATCTCAAAACTAAATGATTGAGAGTCAAAACTTAAAGAAGTTCCTGCCAATAAATGATGACGATAGGTAGGTCTAGAAATGCTTTTGCGGCTGTAAACTTAAGGTAGATGAGAATATCATGAAACATACCCAGATGTTTCTCTTGCAAAACCTAGATGCTAATACATTTAATTACCAAGATTTAATGCTATGTCTTATTCAATGAGATGACACAATTATGGAATTGTCTAAAATAATATCTTTTTTTTTTCCCTAACAGGGCAATAAATGTGTTCATAAGTGCCAACCGACTAATTCATCAAACCAACTTGATACTCCAGACCTTCAAAACTGTGGCCTGAAAACTGTATATGTTGAGTTGTACTTTTCAATGGTGGATAGGGTACCTTTATATGTAAATTTTAAAGTTTTGACTGTATAAATTATCAGCCCCTCTTGAAGGGACCTAATGCAGGATTTTGAATGGGATTATTGCCATCTTACACCATATTTTTGTAAAACATTGTAGCTTAATCATAATCTCACAATGAAGACTTTGCATCACTTTTTGCTATTATCATTCTTTTCAGAATTATAAGCCAAAAGAATTTACGCCTTAATGTGTCATTATGTAACATTCCTTATAAGAATTGTAAATATTTGGTGTTCTGTTTCTGACATTTTAACTTGAAAGCGAAAAGCTGCAAGATTATGTATTTAACAATATCGGTGGCAAATATTCAATAAATAGTTTACATCTGTTAGATTGTCCTTTTGTATGTGAACAGAAATGCATAACATCTTTCCATAATTGCAGAACATTGATTAAATGGAAAAAAATCAGAATACTTGGGTTTTTAAGGCCACTGGCCGTTTAGATCTGTATAAAAGTGAGGACTTTTTCTTTTAAAGCTGAGATTTTTAACTGTCATCCAATATTAGATGAGAATCCCAGAAAAAAATATCTATTAAAATATCACTGGCAAAAATATAAAGGATACCAGAAATTAGGTGGGATGTTTTTTGGTAGAAATTAACCCCACTATATTTATTTATTTATTTGGTGGTGGATTAGCAGGCTTTATTTCTAGTATATTCCAGGATTTTGAGTACAAAATGACTTCTTAAAAATATGCATCTGAGTGTGCAGCAGATGGTCAAACTTAATGTTTTAAGACAACTGTTTTTTATCTTGCCACCCCTTTAGGTGGTGGGGGAACTTCTAGGTGATGAAACCAGTGATGTTTCTGCTGTGCATCCGTAGAGCCTCTTGTTTTTATTTATTCAAGCTACGCGAGACCTGGATTGTGAAATTTCATTGTTAATCAAATGATGAAGAACTGCTGGACAAAGACTCAAATCTTGTTGCTCTGGTTGCGTGGCAATCTCCCACATGCTCTACTCGGTGTCATGCATGCCCCTTCAAAACACAAGTTGAGTGTATTTTGAAATACCGAGAATATTTGTAAAATTGATTTCTAAAGATCTTACTTAGTCTTGGCATTGAAATAGCTACTGTTAAATTTAGGGAAGAATCTGAAGCAGTTTATAACCCTGTGGAAGCTGTCTGTGGGAAGATCCCTTCAGGCTGGAGGAGCCCATTTGCTACAGGACTGTTCTTTGTTTAGGTGTTAATGCTGGTGAAAAGGTATGGCCGGAATTTCTTTGCATACCATGGCCTTGTGCACTCCAGCTCGTCTGGGGAAGGTCCCTTACTTGAAGCACAGCAGCTGGGTCTTAAACTTTGGTTATCTGCTTGAATAGCCTAAATGGAAAAAGTGCAGAAGTGGAAGAATGATACCTGCACCCCTCTAAAATACTCTGGATCTTTTATTGTATCTCTGTACGTAGTAAAATTTCCTTGGTAAATGTACCAGCAGTGCTGAAATGTAACCAAGATGTGAAGGAGGGTTTGGGGTGTGAATGACTTTGGGGGAACATAAGTTGTGAGTTTGATGCTTACCTAAAACTGTGGACAGGAGAGAGTGCTGAAAGCTTTGCTATTCTGTTGTTTTCTGTTGTGGCAGGGGGGATTTGGCAGTGGTATTTGCCTGCAAATTGAGCTTAGTCATGTTGCAAAGGTTACGTTCATTATACTGAAAACTGTGTGGTAGCTATTGAAGCTTGACCTGCTGAACTGCTGTTTTGGGGGAAGCGGTGAACGGGATGCTAGCAATTGGGAAGGAGGCAATTAGCCCAGGAATCCATTTGCATCTTTGAATCCTGAGGGCAAAACGGTTCACTAGTCTTCCTTGTGGGTGATGCTGAGTTACTAGTTAACCCTACTACCAATGGCTTAACTAAAACTAACTACGCAGGTGRATGGAAGGAAAGACATAATTTTTAATAGTTAATTTGCATTGAAAGGGTGTTTGCTGAAGACAAGTGCTCAGGGCAAGTGACATGTGAAGCTTGGGTTGTGCTGGGCCTGTTTTAACAAAACTTGGGATTTTCACTGCTCGAATCAAGAGAGGAGCAGTAGTAATAGGAACAAGAGCTAGTGCTGGCCACCTTTCTCACTACTTGAATGATGMTGGTGTGTTCACACACCTGCTCTGCAGGTTGTTCAAAACCAAGTGTGTGTATGTATATATGTTAATAAATAAAATCACACAYGCCTACATATTTTTTTTTAATAACTGGTGTCCCCAGCAGAGCGATACGTTATGCCCTGGTAGTCGATTCCTTGAACTTGGAATTGAGCAAAGGCTATCAAGAAATGAACTGTTKCTCAATTCTTCCAAGCATCTTTATCAGGTGAAGGTACCTAGTATAGCAATAAGCCTCAGGTAGTCTGACCAATGCATTTTGTTCTATGTTTGTAACTTTATTTTTTAAATTATTTTTGTTACCATTAAAAATTGGAAAAATAATTTTTGTCTGATATGGGAAAACTGGTACATTCAGGTCACACTCGTGGTGTACAGTGAATCCGTATCTACTGGTTTTCCAGGCTTTGTCTTCTGTTGAGTGAGAGCTGGGACGTAGATCTGTCTGAATTTTACTGTGATTTTGCACTTTATGTTAAAGTTATCTGAGTGGCTAGTGATAAGTTTCTGTGTAAAGAGATTTCTAATATGGCAGCTAAACTGCTACTAATTGCTATTATAAAAATTCTGCTGTGAATGTAGGCTATAACTGATGCAATGTTAACAGACAAAAATGAATCTAATAAAATTAAAGCTTTGCGTATTTGGTATCTTTATGAAGTAAAGAAACATGGCTTGTAATTACTTGATCTGTTTTGATGGTTCTTTTTCAGCACAGAAGGAACGAACAACTTTGACCATGTTATGGGTAACAGACTTCTGTTTCAGTATTTATAAAATGAAGTTCTTAAAATCTTCATGGTGCTTGCTCAGTATAAGCCTTATCTYGAGTGTTACAGGTGTGAAATTTCTTGTTGGGACTTGGTGTCTGAACTGTGATTTACCCAGACAAGAAGATGATGGCGATAAGGTAAAAGGTTGAGGTTAAACTTTCTGTCTAGGTTAGTGTAGAATTGGATCTTGTCTTTTTATTGCTCTTTTTCAGTTCTTTAACTGTGTCAGAGAAGAAAGGTATCTTGAGAACTGCAGAATAAACATGCTTGGATTTTACAAAGATGCCACATGTATAATATAYCCATTTATAGCCATATATATAAAATAAATATTATGAATTGAATGGGGAATGGAAGGAAGGTTATCTAGAAGATCTTGTCATAATCAGTATTTGATTATTTCATTATGAAAAGAAGAAAAGGAAGATGAAACGAATGTAACTCTGGAAATGTGTGATGCCAACAGGCGTAGCTGGTACTGCAGGGATGATCACTTACGTTTGGAGCAGATACTAACTATTCTGTTTGGGAATATTGCTTTGTATAGAAATCTTTTGGAATTGCCCAATACACTGTATTACTGTCTGGCTTCCTGTTCCTGCCGGCCTCTTCTGATCTGTCTGAAAAGGGTTTTGCAGAGGGTTTCTACACGCAGACTGCATAGGAACTGCTCTGGCTTTGAATAAGGCTACAGCACATTATTTAACCTTCCTATTTTATTTCAGCACTCATGTTTTCCTCTTTCAATCTATTGGGCAGATGTTGCTCTCAAAAGAGGCAGGTTGGAAAGGTTCTTCGGAACAGAAGCACTTAGTCGCTGCAACCTTTATGCATAAAAAGAAAAATGCTCCAAGATTAAGTCTGGCTTTTGTTACAGATGGTAATAATATAACACAACAGTCATAATTTGTCAAGTTTTATTTTAAGACCAGCTTTTTTTGTACTGAATCCTTTTCTTAGAAGTAATTTTAAAACAATCAAGGGAAAGGAAGGAATCTTTTCAAATATGGAAGTCTTAATATAAAATATAAATTTATCAGAATTTACTCTCTTTATGTCCCCTCAGTTTAGATTTCAAAGGTATTATGGGAAACTTCACTGCATCCTGTCCTTGGCTTCACTTTTTAAAGATAAACACTCCCAAGTTCTTAGTCTTTCTTAAAAATAGCAAGGTATATAAATAGCAAAGGCGTTGCCAAACCTGTTCCTTCAAGGCTGAGGCAAAGCAGTTTTATCCCTATGTTTGCAGCACCAAGTTGAATTGTGCTGCGGAGGAGCTGCTGTCTACCAGGTGGAGGAGCAGGGCTGGGCTTGGCTGTTTCAGAGATGTTCCTGGTGGGGAGGCTCCTTCTCTGCTTCTTAATCCTTCCTGCTCCCTGGTTGATCTCGTGCGATCTTAACAAGGCACCATTTAAAGCGCGACAGTGTAAAGTGGTCCTGACCCAGGTGCCACACTGTTAAGATGGATTTATAGCCAAAGGGCGTAAGAGTCTTCTCCATTATCTCTTTATTTTGCACCTTCTCATTCACCTAATGCCGAAGCCTCGTTCCAGACTTTGGAACATGAGGCTTTGCTGTGTTTTCCATTCTGCTGCCCTGTGCGTGGTCCAGACCACCTGAATTTTCTCTCCCTCTGCTATTTCCTCTGCTATTTCTCCATTCTCCTAACTTAAAACTGGAACTTCTATCAGCTCATATTAATCTTCAGCTCATATTAATCTTCTAACAGCTCATATTAATCTTGCATTTTTATTCCTTTAAATTCCACCCTGCTTGTATTGTGCTCTATCATCTCATGCTCTGATATTTGATATTCTGATGCTTCCTGCTGTTATCATCAGCAGACTTAATTACTGCTCTTGCTATGGATGATTTGTTGATAATAAGATAGGTCTCGGTCTTTGAGATGCTCCATCGGTTGCTTTTTTTTTCTAAGTCATAATTGTTTTTCTAATGCAACTTGCTGACATTTCTCCTATAATAAATTCCTTTTTTATCTTGCATAGAAACAGCTGTAAAATTAGAAAGGCCACATGGCATGTAGCAAAGAATTCTTTTCCATTCTCTCAATGTAAACCAAAGGCAAAATGATAGTTGCATTTGCAAGACTGCGYCCTGCTAGGGATTTACAAAAGGATTGATTCTTACATGTTTGTTCATTTGTGATTATTTTCTTTAATTCAGCATATGCCACATGTCTTCCCAATTGTCTGTGCAAAATCTGTGCAAGGACATGGCTCTTAACACTCTGTAGTGGGGACAAGGGGTGCAATTTGCCTCTGTTTCAGGTGCATGCATTTTTTTTGTGCCTGTATCATATTTGTCATAAGACAGTGACAACAGCACCTGGATCCTACCAGAGTGCACAGCTATGAAGKGCTTGGTCACTGCTGCAATATAAGTACCTAAAATTTTTGAGTTGTTTTAGGATCAGGAGGGATGTACTTGGCAGTTGTATGCATGAGAATTTGCAATTTGAAACTGCCATTCCAGAAAATGCTTTTTATGTAAAGATAAATTTCAAACTGGATTTTTTTTTTTGGAAAAAACTTCTCTTTGACATTGCTGTTTGTATTGAATTTTTGCTTCTAACTATTAAAAATCTTTGCTATGCACTTCTCTTTTGACCAATAAGCAAAGGAAGCCAGAGAAGGGAGTTACTTTGAAAATGAGGAAAAACTGAGCATTCCTGCAAGTGTCTCTAGAGGCAGGGATGTTATTGCTTACAGAGTGCATTCAGGAAAGAAATGGGGTTATAATCACAGCACTGAACACCTCATTGATGACAACCTGAACAAAATGAATTTACCATTACTGATTTCTGAGAAAGCTTCAGCTACACAACAGAAGCGTTTAAACTTTTTTTTCTGTATCACAGTTTGAGGGGTCATTGTACCAAATGGATATAATCATTTGGGAGTATTTCACTAACCCTAAAAAACTTATTATCTAAATAAACCTTTGTCTGATGCATTTTATTTCGTAATTTTAATTATTAAATTTTTGTACAGTAGGTGATTCCTCTTTTTGCAAATGTGAATTCATCTTCAAGGACAAATGATGGGTGAAATACAAGTATGAGTGCTGTAAGTCTTAAAATAAAGGACCAATTATCAAATGTAAGTTCACTTAAACTTCCTGCTGCTGGATATCTAATCTCAGAAGCCACAGTAAAAACACTGTGAAGGAACTTGAAAGCAGGCAGAATATAACATTTAAGAAAATGCAGGACACTTTCATGGTAAGTGAATTTTCTAATTAAAATGTTAATTGGGAGAATTTTGCATAGCTTATCAAGAAAATGTGCTAACCATTTTTCACTGGTGTTTGCATAGCCGTGTGGTATTAATAATTTTGCTTGCTTTTCTGCATCTGCTTAATGAAAGTGACTAACAGAACTTCCTTAAGTGGTTTGGAGTGTGAGATCGGATGTTCCTATTGAGGGTTTAATGCGGTGAGGATAAAACATACTGTCTGGAAAGGTTGAGCAACAACATTTGGATATAGGAGAAAGCTTCTTGTGCCTGATATTGAGGGAGTTACGCTGCTTTGGTGGGTAACAGCTACCAATGTGGGTGTTTGTGGAGCTTTCCTAGTAGGAGATGTGCTCTGCGGTTCATGCCTCGTAATTCAGGTCACTCCAAAATACTATCAGGAGGCCAAAAGCGTGTGAATATRTTTATTCACATTATCTATGTGATAGAGGAGATCAGTTTCTGCCCTGAACTACTTGGCAGGCTTCTTGTCCAAAGTTTTGCCTAAACTTAAGAAACCTGGATGAAAGTTACTCAAATTTAGTTCAGTTGCTGCAAACGGTAGGGAGAGATGGGGAGCTGTCTTATTAAATAAGTGTTGATGTGGCTTGCGGAAGAAATGAAAGTATAAATGAAACTGAATTTTACTTCCTTTTATTTTTGTATTGTTTTAAATACCAAAAATTAAGTCAAAACTTGAACTCCCAAGGCTTTTGCAAGTAGTTGTTTTCTATCATAGCAATATCTAAATGTGACAGCTGAACTTGTCTCTTCAGAAAAGAAATACATATTATCCACATGAAAACACAAAAGCAAAGTATGTTTTTTTCATTGCGGCACAACAGGGCTGCTTTTTATTGTGAACTACAAGCAATACCATCATCTCCTAATGATGCCAACGTAAGTAAACTTTAACCTGTCGACCTGTTTCTATCTGGAGGTTTTTCTCATGAACGTGCAATAATGCTGCTGTAATTCCCTGCCAATATAGGGAAGCTACTTGCAGTAACAAAGC